TACTTCCTCTTCATTCTTATGCATTGAACTATAGCACAGTTGCAGTACAACGTGCCAGCTTTTAACAATCCCAACATCAGGGACTGGGTTTCGTTTTCACTGTGCTGTGCAAATTGACAGTAAATAGACTAGTCCTATAATAGTGAACCCCCCTTTTTAAATTAACTTTTTCTTCTGTATGTTATGCAGTAGGCAGTGGGGCTGAAAGTTGCTTATGCGCTTTAAGCAGTTAAATAATATGCAGATGACCAGTGTTTTCTTATACTGTAAGCAATGGGTAGTCAACTGGGATTGTCATTGTTTTATGCAGTTATATGCATAAAACAATGCATATAACTGCATATAACTACACAAGTGCAAAATTCACATAAGTGGAACATACTTATATGGAATCAGTTATATCAGACACAGGATAATACCATATTGTTCCAATTTACAGCTCAACCTTTTGTCCTCTCAAAGAGAACCATAAAAAAAATCACCATTTAACAGACAGGATAAACTCAGAACAATATAGTATCTTGTCTCTAGTGGGTTATGGAATAGAGAAGATCCCACACAACTTACTGATTTGTTTGATGCACTGGCTGGGGAAATTTTTAGCTACTTGCACGATTTCACAATGATTACACACTTAATTCACACAACACAATTTTATTTTTTCTTGGCTATGCATATAACACTGCTTAGCTTTAAGAAATACCACAAACATTAAGAACACAATAACTACATATATCAGAAACAATGCTCCAAATGCACTTCCTTAAAACAATTACAATTACAACTAAAAGTTAAATTTGAATTAATACTATTATTTTCATGATATACTTACAATCCTAGAATTCCAAGAAGCCAAACGCCTAAATATGGTTTCATTCCTTAGTAGTATAATTTAATGGGTTGGCCTCAGTAGTACGGTTCAATGGACTGGCCTCAATACTGATAGGACTAAGTCCCCATCCTTCAGTCCCTTTCAGGTGCTCCGCGGCTTCAGCGTGAACTAAGCGATTCATGTTCACGGAGAGGGTGGTTCAGGTGATCAGTCTGATCCGGCCTACACTTGCGATTCTTCCTTCATTGTTCTGCAAGTGAGGTTACCTCCAAATTGGGACACTAGGTTACAGTTTTTATTGAGTGAGTTGCCATCTTGGGCCCCTCCTACCCAAACCTGTCACTACTCCCAAATTTGGGGCTCGGATCTTTCTTAACAGATTTCTGCTGGGTTCAGGTTCTTTTGTTGACTATTCAGTTACTTTGGGGAATTTCCTTTCTTTCCAATCTTTTCAAAGGCTCCTAGGGTTTGATTTCTCAGAATGTGGGATGTTTGCTTAAGGGTCATTTTTAGGTTAACTTTGTTAAAGGCCTCTAAAGATAAAATTCAAGAGTTAAGACTGAGCAGTCAGGACCTTCAGCACGTAGGCCAAAACAATGGCCTAGATAAGAAGATGAATCTTGTCTTCCTAAACTGGCTAATGGGCAACTATTATAAGCATTCAAATATTACATTCACTATGACATATCTAGATTGCCCACTCATCTGATCCTCAATAAAATAAATGGGGGTGTCAGACTCACCTTGTGCCTCAGGCTGGATCCGATCCCTGGGGCTCCTCACTGGCAAAATCTGGCCCTAGGAGGCTGTGGCACGATTGGTGGGGCTGGCAGCGGCAGCAGAGCAAGCAATAGTGGGGCATATGGAGTTGTCGGTCACACTCTTTTCCCCTTCCCCAGCAACCTTGCCCTCAACTATCAGTAGCTAATGCAGAAGATAAGAACTGTGATCCATTATGAACTCACTTGCTCCTCTTCTCCTGAGTTTCTAGCTAGTCTTCTTAAACCGTACTGGTACTTTTAAATAGCCATTGCCTTTGCTTTCCTTTGCATTTCTGGGCCTCCTTTACTAGTTAACATTGAGACTAGATACAACTGGTTAAAGTGGTCTGGTTGAAACACAGAAAACCACCCAGGAATGAGATATTGCAGGGAGAGAACCAGCTGTGACTTAGGGTGACAATCTACATTTAAATAAGCTCATTCAGGTCCTGTTCAGTGCAGGCTGCAAAACCCAGCCAAGAAGCTGGTTAAAAACTTGTGTTTTTGTGAATTCCGTGCCACTGTCACTATGTTGCCAGTAGTCACTGAGCAAGCTAATTTAAAGCTAGCACAGCTGGATATATATAAGTAACAGAATTTTCAGTTGAATCAGAACATAAATGGAAGAAATGAGGCTGAGCCAGAAGAATACATACCATTTTGTGATAACTACTGATGAAGAAGCTAACCCAGTCTATTTAGATTAGGTCACATAATTACATGAAACTAGTTAAACTAAAACGGCTTGGTATAAGCAAAAGACATTGTAAAAAACTTGCACAAAGTCCTTGCAATGGTTAGACCATTTCAAATTTTACCTTCAGTTTCACTGAATATCCTTTCCTTTGGTTCTGAAAAGTATTTTTTCTAAAGCAGTGTGGCTGTAGAGATCTGCCTTGAGGGTTAACATCACAGAATGGCTTGACATTCCTCAAAGACAATGAATCTATCCAAGCTAGATGGAAATAGCACTTCAAGGCACTCCTGAACTATGAGTCAACTGCGACAGATGCCTCCATCGATTTTTGTCCCCCAGTAGGATCCTTCCCCAACCCTCTTATCCTAGAAGTCTGGTGTACCACCAAAGAAACCAATAACAACAAGGCTACTGTACTGGATGGCATGCCTGCTTAAATCTTAAGGGCTAATGGTGTGGAACTGGCACTGTGACTCAACAAATTTATTCTTCAAATTCAGGGCAATGAGGACCTGAGATTAAGTATGTGTGGGGGAACTGTTAAAGTATCACCCTTTCCACAGCAGGGAAAACCCACATCCTCCTGAACTGTCTTCTGCCTTTTGCTGAGGAAGTCCTTTCAGAATCTGTGTGGTTTCAGACCATCATGGATGGGCAATTGACATGATTTTTGTTGGCTGCCAGGTCCAAAAAAAGTGTTGGGAACGAGACCCCTATATGGCTTTGATTGAGGCTTCTCCATGACCAGATGACTCTGACCATTCTTTGCAGCAGATCGGAGACCAATCCATTTGACATCCAAACTAGAGTTAAGCAAGTATGCATCATTGCCCCAATTCTGTTTTCCATTTTTTGACTGTCATCATGGTTCTTGTTAAGGACTGTCTTCCTTCCAGAACTGACACTGAATAGTGAAAGGATGGAGGGATGTTTGGAATGTTTTGGGGATATTTTTGCTCACAGACCAAAATATTCAAAACAACCATCTTTAACCTTCAATGCACTGACAACTGCTCTTATCTTTGTGCACGCTAAGGAAAAGCTCTTGACAATACCAGATCTCTTCACAGAAGAAGTCTATCGAACCTTGAACATTGAGAAGACTGAAGTGCTCCTATCAGCCAGCTCCAGGTTATAAATGTGACCCCCTTCTCAACTTAGCATCAAGGGAAAGACTCTGGAAGTAGTCCAGCAGTTCTCTTACCTTGGTAGTCACCTGTCTCAGAGGGTGAACATTGATGAGAAGATCATGTACAGAGATCCAGTGCTCAAACACCTCCTTCAGGAAATAGTTCTTGTGTGTTTTTAATTGCAATCTGTGTAAAGACACCATGATCCGGCTCCACAACACAGTCGTCCCCATTCTCCACTATGGATGTGAAATGCAATTAATGTTACAGCATCTTAAGATCTGGAAAGGTATTGCCAACAATGCATCCAGAAAATCATCTGCATCAAATGGGACAAATACCAGCATTCTTTCTGAAGACAATATTACCAGGATTGAGTCAATGATCCTCAAGTACCAGTTTCAATGGATCAGACTTTGTGTGTGGATGCCTGACTCTCAACTCCCAAAACAAGTGCTCTGCTCCCAACTTAGTTGAGAATTTGTGGCAGACAGATGAAAGACTACAAGGAAAAATTGAAGACATGCCTAAAGAAAATGGATGTCAATACTGAGAACTGAGAGGAGCTGGCTGCTAACTGACTCCAATGGCGCTGCAATCTCAACCAAGTCTGCTTTGAGGTAAAGTGTCTTACCCTCAAAGCAGAGAAGATAGCTCAGAGGAAGGAAAAGTAGAGAAATCCCAGCCTATGACCTACTATTCCCTATGGAAAGGCTTGCAACTTCTGTGGATGGATCTGGGGCTCAAGGATTGGACTCTGAAGTCACTTCAAGACAAGACCCATCAATAAGTGATTGTAGAGATCATCCTTGATCAAGGGATTGTCACTGCTGACTTAAAGCTCCAGAGGAGCTTTGAATTTTTGTTTCAGATTTTAGGTAAACACATTGCTGATGTTCTCCATAGAGTGTTTTATTAAGAAATGAAAGACACATTCTCTATTCTGTAGTGTAAACTGTCAGTGTTATGCTGGTTCTCATTTACTACTGAAAGTGTGCAGTCTTAAACTTCCTGAAAATGATATGTGGTTGAAAGGATAATAACAGTTTAAAATTCCAATACTAACAACACAGAAAAAACCAATAATGATCTTAGTGACACCATTCATTATTGAAATAGAAAACACATTTAAAATATCATCAATGTGTAAACATTTCATTTGTTTACTCTTTGCAGAAGTTGAGCAGAAGCAAAGAAAGAAAAGTTGATAATGTCACAGATGTTTATAGTAAACTTCACTCTGATTTTCAAAACAGTAAGCTGCCATATTTGGTTTGCAAACACTGGGCGCTTGTACGTGTGATGAAAATTGCCCCTTTTTGCAGTTTAATTGTGTCACACTACATGTATTGTGGGGGGAGAGGTTACAATTTAAATGAGTTTGTTAGGTTGCAAACTAAACCACATCCCCCATGTAGTTTAGTTTGCAACATAGCTACTTGTAATGTTGCTGCCTTTAATCTGACAGCTTGCCCCACAGCTGAGGGAGAGGGGCTGAAGGCAGAAGCAGCAAGGCGCCTGATTCTTTTTTTTTTTTCCCCGCAGTGCCTGCCCTCATCACCCCTAGCTGGGTGGGGGATGAACTACAAGGGGCCCCAGTCCTTCACTCTGCGTCAGCAACACCCCGTGGGGACGCCTAGGTGAGTTGCTAGTGGGCCAAGGACTGCCCCAGCTCGGGCTCAGGGAACAGTTGGATCGGGCTGGGTGCTGCCTCGGAGCTGGGGCAGTCCCCAGCCCAGTAGCGTTCTGCCCAGGCGGCTCTGGGGAGGCACCACCACTGCAGAGGGAAGGACTGGAGCTCTCTGCAGCTCAGGGCCTGCTGGCAGCTTGCCCCCCAAACACAGGCAGGCTCTGCAAAAAAAAAAAAAAAAAAAAGATCTTCCAGTGGAGCCTGCCCATGTGAACTGCTGGTTGGCTGAGTGGATCCTGAGCTGTGGGGGGACCTGGTACTTCCCTCCATGGCAGTAGTGTTCCTTGGGGCCACCTGGGTGGGCAGCTAGCGGGCCAGGGGCTGCCTCAGCTTGGAGGCAGCACCTTCCAGATCCTTCTCTTCCCCAAGCCTGCCGGGGCTTCCTGCATGCCATGCACTGTCCCTTGCACCTTCTCCAGCCACCAGTGCACCCAGCCACCCTCCTGCCACTTCCCTGCACTGCCCCAGAGGCAAGCCAGCTCATTCCTGGGTTGTCCCAGGTAGCAGGAAGGCAGGGGGCATGAGGTGAGCTCCCAGCCCACCCAGATGGCCCTGGGGGGCGCTGCTGCCATGGAGGGAAGGACCAGGGTCCCCCATGGCTCAGGTTCGCCCTCTGGCAACAGGAGAGGTGGGCAGGCTTCACACAAAAAAAAAAAGATTAGGCCCCTTGTCATAACAGTGATGATGAAAGTCCGGAAATTGAAATGGTTGGTTTTTAATCATCCCAATTAAAAACCCACCATTTCAATTTAGGGGACTAAACCCCTGGCACATGTACAAGCTCCCACTGAGGTTTTTCTACCAACTGAAGAAGGATTTCATGGAAGTATTTCTATTGGTCTTAGATCAATGTAGGGACAACATTAGGTGATGATAAGCCAAACTTCTACTCAACAGTGTGCATTTAAATTGCTGGATATCAAAAAGTAGGTACTGAAAGACAAATGTCATAAAGCTTATTATTGATAGTAGTGTTTTCCTCAAATTTCAGCACTTCAGGCTTTTTGGCAGAAGCAAGAGACGTGTTCCACTAACATTTCTTTTTCAGCTATTTACAAAAACATCACTGAATGTAGTAAAGCCCTGCATTTAATCCTGCATACATATATGTGTTTAAATTTTACCAGCATGAGTAGTCCCATTGATTTTATTGGTTTTAAATGTTTGCATTTACATTCAGAGTGTTTGCATTTACAGCCAAATATGGTTTTCAAATGAGGCTTTTATTAAGCTTAAACACTGTTAGAGCTAAATTAAGTCACACTGGGGCACTATCCCACAACACCCAGCTATGTCTTCTATGAAGAAAAAGCTCCAAATCTTTAGTTACCAGGCTCTTTGCCCACCCCTTTAAATACCCCAGCATTGTTCTAAGATGAAATAACATTTTATGTGTTCCAGCAATTGATGCTTGTCTGTTCTTGAGGGTCTCTGCTTTCACCCTTCTCTCTTCTTTTCTGTTACTGCTGATGGAAACTTCTATATCACTTTTCAATTAATTGAACAATCAGCTACATCCCCCACCCCAGAGCTTCCTGACAAATGCCATGTCACTGGTAAGAGGGCAGCACCATGCACTTTCTGATCAGAGTGATTCTTAGCAGGGGCAGTAGGTGTTTGCAAATATTTTGAGACTAGCTCATAAGCATCTTTGATTTTCTCTTTCTACATTCAGTCTCCAGGTTGAAAGATAGGTATATCGGTAAATCAAAGGAGTATCAGTGGGGAGTTCACTCGATTTGCCTATGTGATTTGGGTGAGGCTTCTCTAGCCTCATATCACATATGGCTTTACAAAGGCAGCTCTCTCCCAAGGCAGCTCCTTCCCAAGCTGACTTCGGTCTTCCAGCAAGGTTTTCAAAGCAACCAGCTGAGATGGTTTCAGCTTTGCTCCTTGCCCATTACTTTATGACTTAAAACTTCATGGAGCAAGAGAGAGTTGTTTCTTTAACTGGGGCCTGGTTCTTAATTGCATCCACACTTCCAGACAGCTTTCATTTTTCCATGTGTTGTTTTTGAGCTGTCTCTACTTTAGCTGCTTCATTTGGCTCCTCTTCTTTTGCAGCACCAGACAGACATAACTCCCATGGGAAAATGTATCTTTAATGGGCTCTGGCATGGGCCAGGTGAGGGGTTGGATTACCCAGCTGTGCATGAAACACATTGCTGGGCAGTTGGACCACAGGGAGGCAGCTCCTGAGCACTGATGCTCCTATATTTGCCCAAGTGGTCTGTCCTGGAAATGGACCAATCAGTCCCCTAGCCCTAGTGCTTGAAAAGCAATTAACTCCTTCAAGGCAGCCTTTTCTGGGACAGTCTCCAGCATCTAGGTAGGTTCACATCTCAGGGAGAGATCACATCTCTGCAAGAGGCTTATCCTGCCTGATATGACACATGCTGAACCCAGGTAGTGTGGTTTTAAATGCAGGTTTTATTTACAGTAGTACCTGGAAAACCAAGCCAAACCCTGGGTGCACAAGCCTCATCATAGCTCTGCAAACTCCCCCAGACCTGGCCCTAGCTTCCCAGCTGGGACCCTTTGATCTCTTTAGCAGAGCTCAAACCCTTAAAGGGCCAGGGAACATGTGAATGTAACCCAGCATGAATCCTACCTGGGCAGAATTAGGTTGTAGAAACCAGCCAAGCAAGAGCAGGCTCAGTTATCCTACCTCCTGTTTATATCATTAGGAAACTACATATGAGGGCAAGCGTGTGTGGTAATTTGTGCTGGAAAAAGTAACAGTTCTTATGATCTATACCCACAATGATTTTCTCAATTAGCTCATATATTGCATTGTTCATCCAAGCATCTTCTGATGCATTACAGGGAAAAGAAGTGATTTGAATGATTTCTGGAGGCAGGCTGGTTATTAGGCCTCACAAATATATTTTTAGTATAACTGATGTACTGCTGGCTGTAAGCCTGCTTGCTGCCTCAAGAAAGCAAATTGTCCTAAAGTAAGCAGCTGGGAACACAAGCCTTTGTGGTCATTTAGAGCATCTTTACACATGCTGGGTGGGGGTGCTTTAATTAGAGTGCCTTCAAGAGCCGCTCTAATTAAAGTGTTTGCAGCAGCTCATGTATTCAGAGTCCCATGCTTCAAAATGGCAGTGAGGGTGCTTTAACTAAAGCTCATCGAATGAGACCATCCCACACCCATCGAATAAGCTTTAGTTAAAAGTACCCCTACTGCCATTTTGAAGCACGGGGATGCTGAATATACGAGATACAGAGGCTGCTGGAGCACACTTATTATCATGCTTTAGCAGACTTGATTAATTGAGTCTGCTCCAATGCACCGTAACTACAGCACATCAGAGCAGCATGTTATCCATCCAGAAGTAGATTTGGGGACACTAGGGATGTTTATAGCGTGGGAGCAAAGAATAATTCCATATGCACGCGATAAATGAATAATTTTCTTTCACCCTGCCCTAACTCTAAAGTGTCCCCTTTTTAATTCTGAGAGGGAGGAAAAAGAACATGTTCTGTGTTTTTCTTTTAACTTCCACACACACTTCCTTTATCCCATATAAGGTAGGTTTCCCACGATGCTCCACAACTTGGCTCCTGTTTTTTGCTTTGAAAATGTTGTCAATGGAGGGAGGGGTGAGGGTGGGGGGGTCATAGGAAGACTTAGATATCTGCTGACAACTTCTTGTATGGACATGCCACCACTAATCGTTCCTCTTGATAAGTAGAAAAACTGACCCCCCAAAATTTAAATGGCTTGCCCAGGGCTGCACTCATATTCTGACACGCTTGCCTCCTTCATATTTCCTACTGCATTTTCCTGGGCAGGACTATTTTGTTTTTTGATTTCTGTCCTCCTTTAGGATAAGAAGTGAATTTGGTTCGATTATAACCGCTCTGTGCTATAAGTCCTATTATCTTATGAAGTGTAGATGCCTCAGTAACTTTGAGGGTCAAGGCTTAGCACCTTTAGGGAAAAGGACTCCTCTAAATGTTTGAAATCATAATGGCTGCTATTTAGGACTGCTCAGTTTGTTTAGTATTTTTGTACTGCTAGTGAAAGAGAAGTAATAGACAAAAGGAACTGCAAGGCTAGCCCAGCAGATCTAAGAGCCTTACAGACATGCAGTTTCATCTGAAATTATGTATGTATGACTATATTCCACAAGGTGGCACTAGAAATTTTGGTAAGAATGATGAAGAACTGAGTAATAGCTAGAGAGCTTTTATTCCAGACATTCTGATATATTTCCTTTTATTAGTATTAACTGCAGTGGTTAGAATATACTTCAGGACTTCAGTGGTTAGAATATACTTTAGATACTTCAGGGTATCAAGTAAAATTGCATATATTTGCATGCACAATGAAAAACTGTATATGTCCATTGCACAAGCAATTTGAACTGGTGACACCATCAAAAACTTATTACATCCCCACGTTGTACTGTATGTAGGGATTTGTTGTTCCTAGTTTGCATTTGCATTCTTATTCAAGAAAATCTGCATACATGACTTAAATTATAGCTGTTTTGTAAGGATCTAACACATCCCAGTGTGTGATGTTTTAATAACACAGATTTCAACAGCAGCATAATTGGGGCACGTGGGGTACCAGTCAGGGGTGTCAAGTTTGAAGGAACACCAGCCAGGGTGCTTGCCTTTCCCTCTCCTCCTCCCCCTTCTCTGCACATACTATGTGGTGTTTGACAGCATCTCTGCCAAGGGCACCAAAACCGCTAGGACACCTCATAATTTAAACGCTGCTTCTAACTGGAAGGCCCTAAGGACTTAATTTTCAGAAGTACTGAGCACTCAAAATTCTAGCAGAAGTCAGTGGAAACTGCAAGTGCTCGGCCTCTCTAAAAATCAGGTCTCAAAGCTTTCCTACTTCTTTTTAGAAGTCTATGATTAGCCAGCAAGATATTCTTAATATAATTACAGATTGAAACGCCAGCCTCTGAAAACTTATTTTATATATTTTTTTTCCTATAATGTATTTTATAGAAAGGGCAACCCCCCTCCCATCCAGTAGAGGGTCCTAATCCTCCAGTGTAAAAGCCTTGTCTTTGTAGAGAACCTTAGTGCAGGATGCCTAAACTTGTTAGAGCAGAGATGCCCAATTTCTAATCTGATAAGGCTGCACTCCATGTAGGCAGCACCAGTGGAAGGCACAAGACCCACAGATGTCCTCTTCCACTGCAAGCCTGTGGGCATCTCACCTCCCTCCACTGCATGCATGGGCACCTTGGCCTCTGCTTCAGCTCCTTGGCTGCAGACTCTACCATTGCGTCATGCTGTGCAGGCACCCCAGGCTGCAGGCTCCTCCAGCACCATGGGCTGCACTGTACTGCAATGTATAGGCGCACCCATAGGGTTTGGATAATATGGAATGGACTAATTCGACTGTAAAAACTAAACATTCTGTAATTTTTAAAGAAGTATTTTATTGACATCAAGATAATAATACAAACAATACAATTGGTTACGTACAAATTTATAGAAAATTTATCTGATAGCAAAGAGAAACTGTTTAATTTTAATCTTCACATTAATTTAATCTTATGGCATAATCCAATAAACAATTTAAGTACCTCTGAGGTAGACACCACAATACCTGTTTTAGGTACCTGGCTTCAAGAACAAAAACTAAAGTTTGAAGCTAGGTTGTAAGCTTCCTACACTAAACAGGAGGAGAGTTTGATGTTTCTGAAGGATGATCCAAAAAACCCATATAGTGAATGATGAGCTACCTATACATAGTCAAATCACAGGAGTGTGGTCTGAACTTGAAGTGGTTCATGCACTTGAATTGGCATAGGGAAACTCCTCTCTTGGGAGTAGGCACCTACAGCTATTCTTAAAATAGGAAGGTTTTATTGATTTAGCCTTCCTGAAATGACCTGCCAAAACTTTTAGATTTTGACAGGGATGCTGAACAACATTTGACCATACACAGGATGTATGTAGCAGGCTGGCTGACAAAAGATTGCAGCAGGCTGCACACATTTTGCTAGCCTGCGGAGTGCTATAGCAAGGGCTACAGTACAGCTGTAGGCAGTAGGTACTGACTGCAAGCTGCCTAGGAGGACTAGGCCAGCTGAAAAAGATAATTAGTTGGCCACAGGAAGTTAAAGGCTCCTAGAGAGGAAGCTAGGGAAGAGGTATAGAGACAGAAGACTGAGGAAGAAAGCCAGGAGAATCATAACCAAGCCAGGCTACTTCTTGGGGTCCAGAAAGAGACCCAAGGCTGCAAGTCTGGAAGCAGCTGCACCACCACAGGACTGGAGTTGGAGCCAGGTGGAGAAGGAAGACTGCAGTGTGGAGGAAGCAGCAGTGAGCCAGAGGCACCTTCTTAGGGCTACAGGAGACACAGGAGCCTGAGGACTGTGTTGAGTTATGTTACTGAGTGCTGATTTATGTTTTGATGGTTCCTGAGAGGCAAGTGTGCCCAGAAAATAAACAACTGTGAACAGTTTAAAGGCTTTTGAGCGTAGCAAAATCCTGAACTCACTACACAGGTCCATTGGTCATTTCAAAATTTCATGGAATTTATATCCTGTAGCACTCAAATGTAGCCTCTGGAGGCTGCAGCATTTGCCTAGGAATGGCTAATGCAGGGGTGGGCAATTATTTGGGCCTGTGGGCCACATAGGGAGTTTTGCTGATGTGTCACGGGCCAGGTCAGCACCCTCCCACAACAGCTCACCAAAACTCCCCATATGAGATGGGGCCATGGGCAGGCAGAGAGTGGTGTTTGGGAGTGGGATGGGTAGGTGAGGGGCAGTGACAGCACAGGGATGGAGTCTGGAGCATAGCCGTGATCTGCTGTTCTCATGCCCCTGTGACGGGTGCCAGTTCTGTGGGTAGGGGCATGCAAGGAGCAGATCACAGCTTTACCATGACCCCATGCAGTCATTGCCCCAAGATCCTGGACCTGGACCTGGCTCTGCACATATCTCCCTGTCTGCCCACAGCCTGGCTAGTCTCCATGGGGACCCCGAGATCACAGGGCATGAAAATGCAAGACTGGGGCAGAGCCACAATCCGCTGTTCACAAGTCCCTGCCTGAAGAACTGGGACTCTGCCTCATTCCCTGCCCTGTGCTGTCACTGCCTTATGATCCTGGGGTCTCCATAGACACTGGCTGGGAGCTAGCTGCATGGATAGGTTGCATGGCCAAGTGGAGTGGGCAGGGCTAGGTCCTGGATCTTGAGTGATAGCATGGGCCTGGAGCAGAACTCTGATCTGGTCCCTGCACACCACTGCCAGGGGAACTGGTGCCCATCACGGGCAAGTGGGCAGCAGATTGCAGCTCTGTCCTGGCCTCGCACTGTCACCACCCCAAGATCCCAGGGTCTCCTTGGCCCCACCCACTTGTCTTGTTCTTGGATGCCACTCCCCATGAGCCCACAGCCCCATCCCAACCACGCAGCTAAGCACCCTGCCTGTGCAGGTACCACCCATTCTCCCTGCACCTGTTCCACTTCCAGTGTGAGTGCCCTAACAACTAGGCAACTGTATAAAAGATGGATACTATCAGTTCCTCTGGCTGTATTTTTTCTGTGACAGTGGCTGAAGCTATGTTCTGTGCTGGGCTGAATGCTGCTGGTATACTTTAGTTGTGCTCTCAGTATGCCTATGCAATTGGGTCCCTAACAAGATCAAAATGTATTTGTAAGTGCCTAATTCCTAGACAGGAGTTAGGCACTTACCTGCTTAGACCAGGGCAGTTCTAGGCATGTGCAGAAGGCATAAGCCCCCTCCTGCCCCCTCCTTCTGGCATCCGGCAGAGGGGGCTTACTCTGCTGCTTGCCCCAAATGCACAGTGAGCAGCAGCAGCAGCCGGGGCAGAAGGAGGAATAACCCTGCTCCCTGCCCTCCCCCAAGGGGTCCTGGTGGCCAGCATCTGGCCCTGCCCCGCCATCTGGCAGCAGCTTCTGTCATGGTTTCCCCAAGCACAAGCCTCTTCCTGGCAGGGGGCCATGCTGCGGGGTGAGGAAAGCTGCTATAGTCTGCGGCGGCATTGTGGGGGGCTTAGAGGGCTCTGGCCCCCTCTGAGCCCTGGTGCTGCCATGCAGTCTGCCGCAGCTCTGCCTGCAGCAGTGGGGGGCAAAGCACCTGGTAAACTGGGCTCAGGTCCCTGCCTGTGGGACAGGGAAGGGGAATTAAACACCTCTTTGGCCACTTCAGCCCAGGCTGGCTATGTCTCCCCAGCACAGCTTCCTTGTAGTCAAGGGTATGCTCTAGTGCCCTCTGGCACCTGGCCTGAGCAACTGCAGGCATATGCCCATTGTTCCCCAGTCCAGAGGGAATGTCTGTACTGTTACAAACTGGTTCAACCTAGGCAGGTTAGAACACCTGCAATGATTTAATCAATTCAGGCTCAA